TTTTTTTGAACCATGAAAATTATGTTATCACATATACATTTTTATGAAAATTTTGAAGAAGTGTCATTAATGTGACTAATAATTTTTTTTCATGGTATATGACATATTTTTTTAAGCTTAAAAATTTAATTTTAAAAATTTTTAAAACGAATTATATTGGATTTTATAATTTCTTTTTTTGTTAATTGTTATTGTTTCTAGAGTCACGATCCATGTTGTCTAATTAGTGTTATTACTATTAGTGATAACAAACACAGTTCACCTATTATAGATGTTGTATTTGTTGAAGTATTTTTAAATAAATTAACAATAAATTTATTCTACATTATCTCAATAAATTTTTTAAAAAACAATTTTCTATTTAATTCATTCATTCACACTATTTTTAATATTAGGCCGCGCAACGCGCGGGTAACGTACTAGTTATACTAATAATAACTTATTATAAGCTGGTTGAAAAGGTCATGGAACAATGACTTTCACACAGTATAAAATCAGAGCCCACTAGTTAATGATGGGTATGCATGTATGTATGTGAGCATTTTCGATTACCTTAATGTATGAACCAACCCATTTGATGATCTCAACTCTAAATTTAACTCATCCAGTAAGATTGATTTATTTAATAAAGCCTTCCAATTCATAATTTGTGCAAGAACTAAACAAGTTCATTACGACATTATATATTATAGTCAACTAGGTACCATAATATTTACACATATTCAGTCAAGTAATAATATTCCAACTACAGTCTTATTATTTAACTATATATGAAACAAGTGCAGTGCAGGGCTTGTGTTAGTAGACACTTTTTTTTTTTCACATTTTAATCTGTCCACCTGTCTATAATAATAATAAGTAAAGAGTGATGTGAATAAATTTTTAGGGAGTAGAGCAAACTGCCGAAGAGAAAGCAATCGATGCGTGGCTACCCATCACATCATCAAGAAACGCAAAATGGTGGTACTCTGCTTTCCACAATGTCACTGCTATGGTTGGCGCCGGAGTCCTCAGTCTCCCTTACGCCATGCCCGAATTAGGATGGGGTCCTGGAGTTACGGTTATGGTGATATCATGGATCATCACACTATACACTCTGTGGCAAATGGTTGAGATGCACGAAATGGTGCCCGGGAGGCGCTTCGACAGGTATCACGAGCTCGGCCAGTATGCCTTTGGCGAGAAGCTCGGCCTCTACATTGTCGTGCCTCAACAACTCGTGGTCGAAGTTGGGGTCGACATTGTTTATATGGTCACCGGAGGAAGATCCCTCAAAAGGTTTCACGATTTGGTTTGCAATGATTGCAAAGACATAAAGCTCACTTACTTCATCATGATCTTTGCTTCTGTTCACTTTGTTCTCTCTCATCTCCCCAACTTCAACTCTATCTCCGGTGTCTCATTGGCCGCAGCTGTCATGTCTTTAAGGTACTAGTACTACGTTTGTATACATATATAAGTACGTACACAAAGAAATAATATTCCCAACATTTTTTTTTTTTTAACAAATCTTGATTAAATTTTGAAACTTTGTGTTATTATTATGATCCAAGTTATTCTACGATTGCTTGGGGGGCTTCGGTTGGGAAAGGAAAGGAACCCGACGTGCAGTATGGGTACAGGGCTTCGACGACAGCTGGCACAGTTTTCAACTTCTTCAGTGCATTGGGTGACGTGGCGTTTGCATATGCGGGTCACAATGTCGTGTTGGAAATACAAGCAACGATACCTTCGACGCCCGAGAAGCCTTCAAAGATTGCCATGTGGAGAGGAGTTATTGTGGCTTATATTGTTGTTGCTATGTGCTACTTTCCGGTGGCCTTCATCGGCTACTGGAAGTTCGGTAATGGTGTTGACGATAATATCTTGTTGACTTTGGGGAAGCCCGTGTGGCTAATCGCCATGGCTAACATGTTTGTTGTGGTTCATGTTATCGGAAGTTATCAGGTGAACCAAAGATCTTTTTTTTTTTATCTTGTTGTTGTTGTCTTGCATATATAACAAGACAAGTAATATGTGTTGGTTCGGTTATATACTCGTGCAGATATATGCGATGCCGGTTTTCGACATGATAGAAACCGTACTTGTGAAGAAGCTTAGGTTTAAGCCTACATGGTACTTGAGCTTTATCTCTCGGAATCTTTACGTGGGTACGCACATTAATGTTTGTTGGAATTGATTTTGCTGAGGTTAATTATTAAGAATCTATACTTATCATCATCATCTTATTCTTTTCAGCATTTACAATGTTTGTTGGAATTACCTTCCCCTTCTTTGGCGGGCTCCTAGGATTTTTCGGTGGTTTTGCTTTTGCGCCGACCACATACTTTGTAAGTTTGTAAATTTACTGCATACACGATTGAACTAATGATTTATAAGTTGTGTGAGATAATAAGAGATATCTTCACTTTTGTTCATCAGCTTCCCTGCATAATGTGGCTTGCCATCTACAAACCTAGGAAATTCAGCCTGTCCTGGTTTGCCAACTGGGTAAGTTGAACCGAAAAATATATATAAAGCATCTTACATTCTCGAAACGATCTTATTAGGTACTCGCTGATTGTTGTTCATACAAAAATTCACAGATATGCATCATACTTGGTGTGATGTTGATGGTTATAGCACCAATTGGAGGGCTAAGGCAGATCATAATTCAAGCAAAACACTACAAATTCTACTCTTAAAAGAGATCGCAATAGTTGAGATATTATTATACAGAAAGGGAAAAGGAATATAACAAGTTTATGGCCTCAAGGTAACACTATTCAGTGAAGGAGACTTGACTGCTTGACATCGACAGTGTGTTTGGATTTGTTGTGTGTATAAACAAAGTTATTCAATGTTTTTCTTTAGAATGAAATGGTGGTATTGTTTTCCTATTTTCTGCTTTCAGTCCCAATAAATAATGATATATGTTTGTGTTTGTCTTATAATAATAAAATGTCAATATGAGGAGCTTAACCGAGTCCTCACTTACTCACATATCGCACCTTGAGATAACAGTGATAAAACACATTATTGGATAAGCCTTTACAATTATATTTATTCAACAAAAACCATTAATCAATATATATGGCATCAATCATTCACGATTTGGGACGGACGTACCACATAGGCGCTGGGTAAGTCTTTCTCAGGTTCTTAGGATCACATGGAAAATAGCATGGCGGCACAGTCTTGTTCTCATAATTAAAGATGCCAATGTCATGGCCACCAGTTAGGAGGTGCTCAATCGATGCATCTTCTGTTGCATTCGAAAAGTAAATGGAGTTGGGCTTGAGCTCCGGGAACTCAGCCGCCGGCAACGCAACTGCATCGCTGTGCAAGCCGACAAAAAGAGCCCAACCACCCAAACACGAACCAGAACCTTCCACATACTTAAGTTCCCCATCCTCAGGGTCATATTTATGAACATCAAAATCAACAGTCACACCCGGAAGGCCGAGTTCCTCGGCGAGAATATATTGCGCATTGCCATCAACATACAAACCATCAAAGTAAAATGAATCAACCACGTACTGGGTCACTACGAGGAGATCCTCGCCGGCCACTACCAGACTCTCCATCCGCGAACTCACCAACCAAAACTTCTTCTTACCTGTCCTCGGGTAGCTGAGCCGTCCACCCTCCTGACTAACTTCAGCTATCTTCACAGCCCTCGGTGACTGAGGGTCCCGAATATCCCAAGACTCCAACACGCCCAGTCTTGTAAGGCAAAACAATGCTTCGTGTCTTGTGGAGTACACACAATCTGCGTAGCCCCAAAATACAGCCCGGCCCGAATCTTGATCAAACCAGTGGTGATCTCCAATTCGGGTCCACTCCTTGCTGAAGCCAGGGCAGCAGAAAGCCAGCGCAGCTACATTGTTGTAGATCATGATAGCCCGACAATTTGATCCCTCGTCTGGGGAGCACGAGAGGATAACCTTGTTGTATAGTCCTTTTGAGGTGGGAGGGTAATCAGGAAAGTGGCCAAAGGGAGGGAGGCTTATATGATGACCGGTAATTGGGTTATAAAGAAACACGTCCAGCCTACTGTGGTCGTACAAAGCTAGCCAGCCGTGTGAAGATCCCCTAAACTCTATCAAAGGGTTCGTTATTTCTCTTTCTTTGCTACTTTTTCCAGTACTTAGGGTTACGATTTTGTTGTCGGCAAGGCGGTAGAACTTGTAGCTCCGGCTGGCGGCGCCGCTAGCGTCGACGTCAAAGGCAGGCTGCAGCATAAGCCAAGGAGATGACGACGGTGATGGGTTCGGCTTGGCCAACGTGCTCATGCCTTTCCGATAAAACGACGAGTTCAACCTATACCTACAACATTCGGCGGAAGAACAAGATCTAGACATCAATTTTCCGCCAATCGGACAATTAGCAATTCCGGCAAACCATTTCCGACAAATCGAACCAGTAAGTGAGAATGAAGAAGCCATAGATAGATAGATAGATAGATAGATAGATAGATAAAACTTCGCAAGTCCAAAGATGCACAATTTATCTTAAGCCCTTGTTTCCCTCTTAACAAAAATCACAAATTTCAAGGTTATCTTCATCCTTATCTCCATCATCTCTATTCTAGAGTAAAAGCAAAATAAAAATCAAATTTTGTCTTGAATCATTTGCTTCGAACATATTATTTTATTTATTTAACATATGAAAATAATAATTTAATTTGATATTATTTCATCCAATAAATATTTTCACGAGAGTCTGCTATTGGTTTGAAATATTATTAGACAAATATTTATTTATTTTTAAATCATTTGGATTCATTTTATAGTAATTCAATACAATATATTTTTTTCAAAATAATTTGTATTGTAATATAATTCGAAAAATATTTTATAAATTTATTGGTAACAACTTTATCAAATAATAAAATTTAAAATAAATTAATACAAACAATATAAAAAGAAAATAAAAAATATAGAGTTGTTAATAGTATCGTGTCAAATATAATGCAATATTGTTCATAAACTCTAGTAAGGCTAGAATGTAGCGCATCACTGGACTTAACTTCTAACAAAATTCTACTGTTTTACGCCAAAATATCTAACTCTAGAGTAGAACGAGAATGTAGCACACCATTGAACTTTACTTTTAGTAAAATTCTACCGTTTTACGCCAGAGTATTGCAGCTCATTTGCTCGTTTGAACTGACCTAATTCATGAATTGACTTTAAGCCCTGTTTGTGGACATTATAGGCCCTCAAAGGAAATTGCATATTTGGTTTTAAAAGGCTATTAGTACAATACTCTTGAATTCTAGAAAAAATAATAATTGCATATTTAGTGTTTGAAAAAAAAAAAATTGTACAAGAAAAATTAAAGAAATAACATTTATATTCTTATTGTGAAATAAAAATAAAAATAAGTAATAATGAATTAAAAGAATTTGTGGTATTATTTTGAATTTTAGAAAATATTTTTGTATAAAATATTGTTTGTTCTAATTAAGATATATTATTTTTTGAAAAATTAAATAATATATGAATTTCAAGACGGATGATGGAAACAAAAATACAGAACAAGGTCTATATTCTGATAGTGATCTTTTTCAAATTTCATTTAATGAAAATGGAAAATATTCATTTGAAACTTAAATAATATTTTAGGACTTTTTTAAATCTTGATTTAAAAAAAAAAATCATTTAATTGAAATTCTTGGAAAATTTATACATAGAGGTTTGATTTAATTTGCGTTTGCGTATGTATTTTGTTTTTGGAATCTTGTAAGTCTCAAAAAATTTAGACACATCACATGATAATTATATTGAATACTTCTAATTTTTTCACAATCTCAAATGATGAATTTTAGAAATTTTAAAAATTCCAAATAAATTATACCAATATCTTTTATTTTATTTTTATTTTTTAAAAATAAGAATCTGAATAATTAGTCCGGTGTATTTACACCTGCTGATTTTACCTAAATTTAAATTAGCATAAGTTTATATAATTTTTAAAGTTATAGAAGAATCTATACTTATATTAAAAGCTATACTATTTACTAAATGTAGTATGTAGAATAGTCAACCCTAATTAATGATTTACTATTTTTATCAAGAATTTAATTAATGAATCTAATATTTTTGGTATGCAAATCAAATATATACTTATATTAAAAGCTATACTATTTACTAAACGTAGTATGTAGAATAGTCAATCCTAATTAATGATTTGCTATTTTTATCAAGCATTTAATTAATGCATCTAATATTTTTGGTATGCAAATCAAATTAGCATTTAATTAGTTCCTAAAATATTGGGTATGTAATATTAATTTAGGAATATCCATGTATTTCCTAAAATGTTGGTATGCAATACGTAAAAGAAAATTTTTTAATTTTTTTAAATGTAAAATATTGCAACACGTAAAACTATTCCAGTTATTTTTTATTTTATTTTAAACGTAAAATCTAATCAATATTTAATTCATCCTACAAAATTGGATTTAGTTTAATTCTCAATACAAATTGGTTATAACTTTTTCAGTTGTACTTTATTTATTTATTTATTTTACACTTTTAAATTAATGAAGCTCTCCGAAAATACCAAATCAAATGATTTATGAAAGTTTT